GTGATAATACAAGTGCACTCAACATGGCAAAAAATCCAGTTTAACATAAGAGGACCAAGTACATTGATGTACGCCATCATTTTCTCAGAGACAATGTTGAAAAAGGGCTTACATGTATGAAATTCTGCAGCACTGAAGATCAAATTGCAGATATATTTACCAAAGCCCTGAGCAGAGAACACTTTGAGAAAAATCGTCTCGCACTAGGTTTGATAAAACTCAATTGAGAACCCGGTCCCCCAAATGATTGGCTATGAAAGAAATGTTCAGGTAAAATTAGCTAAAAAGTGTTTTCTGGAAAAGTCTAACTCACCTCTATACCGTTATAGGTAGACACGCATGATGATTACAGAGGAAATAAGCAGGTGAGGCAGTGTACGATGGCAAAAAGGGCAAAGCTTACAGATGCAAGATTTGTCAAGGAACCTAGTTCTCCTGACACAGGTTAGTAGTTTCTCTGTTGTCTCATGCACAATTTTGAATGGTTAAAACAAGTGTCATGTCATCAATATGTCAGTTTCTTTTCTTTGCGTCTTTTGAACCCAAATGTCTGACCCATTGAAAACCGACCCAACTCCCAAAACTGCCGCCCTTTCTTCACCGGTCCCTCATCTATCATAAATACATCTATCACTGTCACAACTCCTCCCATCAAATTTCAAAACCCCCTTCTTCTGTCTCTCTTCGAATTGCCAAATCCCTTCTCTTCTTCTCACCATGGCTAAAAATCAAGCAACCTCGAGTGTTCCAAGCAACACCCCCATTGAGTCCTCACCTGTTGAAACACCGATATTAGACTCTTCACCCATACTACTGCTAGCCAAAACCCTAGGACAGAGTCATCCCCAGATTTCGTCTCCTCTCCTACCCACTCGAGTTCTGGTTCTCATAGGAGTCGCAAAATCTTGACTCCCAAAAGATTTGTAGCCCCGAGCACTCCTCCTCTTTTGCCGGAAAAAGGGGATGAATAGAGTACTGCTGACAAAGAAGAAAATCAGGAAATTTCAAGTTTTCCTATGAAGAAGGGTCAAAGGTAGATCAAACTGATGGTTCTGAGAATGTTGACTCAACAAAGACTACTCCTAATCTCGTATCCAAAGGTAACACTCCTTCCTCTCCTGAGTTTTCCATTGGTGTACAAGAGAAAGAGGCGATAAAGAACATGTTGTCCATAGCTAATGAAGGGGTTTTTGTTGAAGGAGGTGAGGATGGTTTTGAGACTCAGAGGGAAGAGTCTAAAATTGTTGGAGAGGGTAAAGAGCTTGTGCCTGTTGAACCATCGACACAAGAAGGTGCTACTGGGGAACCTGCTGGAGGACCTGATCCCCCTTCGGAGGATCCAACTTAGATGTCCTCTCCAGAACCCCAGGTCAGCACTGACCCTTCTCCCTCTCCTTATTTTGATAATGATCTTTTGTGTATGGTGGTGCCTGAGGAAAAGTCTGTGTCCAGAGAAGAAAAAGGGGATAATGAAGAGGATTCTGATGATTTTCCAATAGCAAGCTTGACTAGGCGTAGACCAATAGTTGCTCAAGAGTCTACTCCTAAGCGGCTCACTACAAGGTTGCAAAGGAAGGAGGCTTTTGAGTCTGCTCTTAAGAATAGCCAAGCTAAGTTAAGGAGAAGAAAGTTGGTGAAAGATGGGAAAGCTGTAAGTGAAAAGTCAGTGCCTATCGTGAATGTGGATGAGGAAGAAGCCGAGGAACCTGGTTCCTTGACTAGAAATCTCTCACAGAAATATGTTCTCTCCAAGCCAAAAAGAGGATCTTTTGTGTCTGCTGAAAATATGAACAAGTCTGATGATTTTGTCTCTAGTGATAATGTAGTGAAAGAAACTAGTGATAAGTCTGTGGAAGAATCTGGTGCTGGGGTGATGGAAGAATTGGGTGAAAAGTCTGTGAAGTCTGATGAAAAAGAGAAAAATGTTTGCAAATCTGCCAAAAGAAGAGCTGAAACCGATGAAGAACCCGGTTCCTCAAAGAGGGCCAGATTGGTGAACCAAGAAGTGCTGGGAAAGAGAGATTGAGGAGCCAAAAGGCGCAATGGGGCCGCACATATTCCCCTGATATCTTGGAGGAGGCTGGTATGAGACAGCTAGTTGAGATCTGTGAGTTTCAACAATGGACACATTTGTTCACCAATGATGATCCAAAGGTGTATGAAGAGGAGGTTCAAAGTTCTATGCTGACTTATTCAAGGTTGAAAATGATCACATTTGTGTGTTGGTGAATGAAGTTGATATGGTAATGGACTCTGCTTTGTTTGGGTATATTCTTGGTGTGCCTGCTGAAGGGCTGTCAAGTGTTCGGGGAACCTGTTCTCAAAATTTTAGAAATGCAATCTTGAAGGATAGAGAAGTTCAGCAGGGAGAACGGGTTCAGAAGAAGGCCCTCCTTCCTTTATATCAACTGCTATTTGAGATGGTGAACAAAGTATTGCTGCCTCAAGCTGAGAGAATATCTATCACCTCTCGTGCAGACCTGTTCCTCATGGAAGCACTGGACAACGTCACTACTATCAATCTGCCGGGAATCATGATAGAGCACATGAATAATGTGGCAGACTTTAAAGATGGTAATCATTGGCTGTCGTATGGGTTCTTTATCACCAAGGTCTTTGAGCACTTCAAGGTTCCCCTAGGACCAGCTAAAGTGGGCACTGAGAAGCAAACTTTCTCCAAAGCCACTCTTGAAGAATGTGAGCGTATTGAGAAAGTTGGAGGAGTTGGAAGCACTTCTACTATATCTCAGTTGATCAATGCTCAAAACAGTGCTACTACTGAGATAAGGCAATTAAAAGCAAGGAATGCTATCCTTGAAACTCAGTTTAGTTAGCTACAAGAGGCACCTGGTTCCAATAGCTCTCAAAGTGAAGAGGTTGCTGAAAGAGAGACTGCTCAACGAGCAAATGTCAGCAAATGCTCGAATGGATTTAGTCCTCCAAACCCTTGCCTCTGCCTCCAAGCCTTCTCCTTCCAGTGCTCCCTAAATAGTGTCCCCTCAGTGTCAAGTCTATGATCTAGTTTGTGGTCAAGTCCTTCAGTGTTAGTTTTTATAATGATGTTTGTGGTATTTTTTTTGTTGTTCAAAATTGTTGATGGTGGTCGTAACATTTACTCTGCTCTTATTAAAAAATCCAAATTATGTTAATGCAAGCTTTTCCCTTTTTGATGTTTATACCTTGCTTTTCTGCTTTGTTTTTCGTAATGATTGTGTGAACATAAATGGCATGAGTTAACTTAAAGCTAGACTTCTTTATTGCTTACAAAATGATCTAATCTTTTTATGATGCCAAAAGGGGGAAAATAATTTAGGGCAGGGGGAACGAGATGGGGAATAGATTTAGGGGGAATACAGGAAATGCTGGTTCTTAGGGGGAACATGAATTATAAGTTTGTCATCATCAAAAATGGGAAAATTGATAGGTTATATGTGTATCCCTGTTATATTTTGATTATCTAACAAACTTGCTGTAAAGAACCAGATACACTTCTTCAGGACCTTAAAAGATCAACATATCTCCAGCTGAGACACAGTTCAACTTGTCTGAGTCAAAGGAACAACAGAGGGAACAGGTCGCTACCAGCTCCCGAGGTAATTGTATGAAGTCAACTCTCCAGCTGGAAAAGTTGCTGCTTACACACGCTACAGTACAGGAACAGTGCAGCAATCAACTTTATGGAGAATACCTTTTACCTACCTTGCTTACATAATCATTAGTGATGTCACACATGTATTATTAACATCAAGGAAGGTAAAACAAAACACTTGAACACTTAGAGAATTTACTCAAGCTCTCTCACTTGATTGATCATAGGGGTGGGCATTCGGTATTTCAGTTCGGTATTTAAGAATTTTGGTTCGCTATTTCGGTATTCGGTTTATCAATTGTGTATACCAAATACCGTACCAAAGTATTTCGGTACGGTTCGGTATTTCTTATTTTGGTTCGGTACGGTTTCGATTTAATATTTGCTAAATAAGCAACACTAACAAGTGACAATTCTCCTATGTTTCAATGCCCTATCTAACTGTTCAGCCAAGAAATGAAGAAATACAATGAAATTGAACAACATATCTTCAGAAAGAAGTAAATAGACTTATAGACATTTACTGGCATTTGGAGCCAACTCAAATTCTTGTGGGTTAATGCCTTAATACACAACGAGACAGGCTGTAAATCAATTGCAGAACAAGGCAACAAGCTGCAAATTTTAAAAGTTTGTACTCTTAACAGGCTGCAAATTTTTTCTCTGAAAATGGCAGAAAATATATGCAACAGTAGCAGCATTAACAGAATAACAGTAGAAGCATTAACAGTAGCATAATTAACAGTAGCAGTAGGGAAGTAGCATAATTAATAGTAGCAGCAACCAGCAGACTCTAACAAGCAGCCGAATTAAACACACACAGTGCAACAAAAACAACAAAAACAGAGAGGGCATCCCTCAATTCAAGTTCACACTAATACTCTCGAATCAACTTAGTTTAAATTCTTAAATACGGATTCCAGGAAGACGCTCAAGACAATGCCCAATATGCTTCCATAAACAATATGTGCCATTCCTCTTTGGATGAACATTATAGACTCGACCGCAATACTTGCACTCTACTTTGCGAACTTCTCCGTTATCTTCTTTCACCTCAAAGTGTTCCTTAATATGAGAGCGTAATTTAGGAGCACGGGAATGATTGCTCTTGAACCTAAAAAAAATATAAATCATAAGTTAGAATATTATTTTTTGATGATAATAAAACAAAACTACAAAAGTATATCACCAAACAAATAGAGTATTAAACTTACCACTCAAGTTGCAAGTTGCAACTATACATCAAACAATTCTAGTGGTGCCTCCATTATTTTTCATATCTGAAGATAATTCGACCAAAAATGTCATACAAATAAACAAGTATGATATATTATTTTTAACTAAAATACACACAAAATATTAAAGCTTACCAAGCCCGAGTTCCTCAAGATACTTCAAGTCTTCTTCAACACTAATAGGATTCATTAGTCAACGAACTCCTAAATGAATCAAGAATACGGCCACCAGTGCTAAACGCACATTCCGACACCACACTAGAAATTGGAATGGCCAACACATCACGAGCCAACTCCGAAAGAATAGGAAATCTTGGAGCATGTGTTTTCCACCAACTTAAGATATCAAATTCTTCACTAAAAGGCTCTTGTTCTTCACTATTGTATTTATCCAACTCCGATTTAGCACCCCCACTTCCATTGTCTTCCTTTTTTTTCTTCAAGTGAAGCTTCGTCCTTATTAAAGATGCAGTTATAACACTCCCACTAGATGTATTAGATATGTTATTAGATGAAGTAGAACTAGATGGAGATTGAGGACAAGATCCAGTTGAATACTTTTTTCTTCTCCTTTTCCTCCCCAAAAAGTTCTTCAAGTGCTCCCTTTACATATTCAAATTTGTTACGTGGATCCAAGACGGAAGCAATAAAACTTATTTAATTCATCTTTTCAGGCTCACCCCAATACTTCTTGAACTTTTCTTGCATCCGCTCAGCCATTTTTTTCAAATGCTCATCGTCACTAACTAAACGCATTTTCAAATAACAATAAAGTTCAGATACATCCTCAAAATGAGCATTACAAGTAAAGTGAACCTGAAACTTTTTTGGTGAGCTCGTAAAATCTTGAAAGAAACTCTATCATATTCCTCACATTCACCCAATCATCAGATTCAAGAGGACCTGCACTACTACCATCTTCACAAAGATGAGAACATTGATGAGCAGAAAATCCATCATCAAAGAGATGAAACTTGTCAAAGGCCTTTTTAAAGTTTTGTGCCATATCCAATATTAATAAAATAGGTGGAATTCCATCTAGTAGGAACATCCAAATACAATGTTTTGGTACATTCTACCTTTACATGTGCACAACACTGTTTAAACTTTAAGGTCCTTGCAGGCGAAGATCTCATATACCTCACAATATTTCTAACACGTGTGACAGAAGCATCAATTTCTTTCAAACCATCTTGAACAATTATATTTAATATATGAGCCATGCATCTCACATAAAGATGTTTACCACCCATCATATTAGTTTTCCACATATCTAACTTTTTAGACAATTCTTTGATTGTGACATCATTTGAAGAAGCATTGTCCACAGTAATAGTGAATACCTTGTCTAATTTCCATTCAAGCAAACAATTTGAAATAGCTTTAGCCATCTCTTCACCCTTATGACTAGTGATAGGGAAAAAATTTAGTATTCTTTTATGCAACTTCCAATCCCTATCAATGAAGTGAGTTGTCAAACACATATAATTTATTCTTTGTAATGAAGTCCATGTGTCTGTTGTGAGGAAAATTTTTGGTTGTGCTTCTCTAAAAGACCTTCTTAGATTTTACTTCAATTCACTGTAAACTTCATAACAATCCCTTGTTATTGTTCTATGAGAAGGAAGACAAAATAGTGGTTGAGTTTTTCTCATAAACTTTGATCGAGGCCAACCCTGCACTACTACAAAGTAGCAAGAGTGGTCGAAGCAGCTTTTACCCGAGAAGGTCGGGATCGATTTCCACAGGGAGCTAGAGATGGGAATTGAGTTTCTATCTAAATTGGAGTTGCGTAATTGTTCCTAATTGCACTTCTAAACATGGTTGGTTTTGATATTACTTCTAAATTTATACTACTAAGATGCTAAATTAAGCTAAGTTAAGCTAAGAGTAAACTATTGAAGGTTGTCTAAATAGTTAAAAGGCACTAGGGAAGTGACTTTCTCCTAGGTAGATACTTGACGGGTTCTCGTGTCTAAGGTTAGGTTGTCATATTTGGGGATTACGATATAACCATTGCACGATTCTACTCACTCTATACCTCTCGGTAGTTTGAGTGATTTTGCCCTAATTGACTTTCTCAAGATCAATTGGGTATGATAATTTGTGTAAGCAATTGAAGTTCAAGTCAGGTATTACTATCTCTAGGTTTAACCCTTTAATTGGGGCTATCAATCTCTTGAGTACGCCCCAATTCCTTGTTGGACTAATTTTCCTAGACTTAGGCTCTCTTTCTCAAGAAGAGCCCAAGTCAAATAGGCATAAACTAGTGTTTGCAACCACTAATTTAACAATAAAACCATAAATTAGTCCAAATATCAAACACCCATAGACATTCAAACCTTAAAACACAAGACTCATCAATTACCCACACTAGGGTTGAGCCACACCCTAGCTAATGGGTCTAGCTACTCATGATAATATAAGAAAACAAAGAAATATATGAAGAAAAACCCATAATATTTAATTGCTAACTAAAACTTGAAGATTCAATGATAAAACTATTGTAAAATTACTCAAAATGGTAAAAGGTTACTGTTCACGAGCGCAGCTCTGCCTAAAATTACAACTGATGAATCACCCTACGGGTCCTCCAACTGTATAACTGCATCATCGGAACGGGGAATCACCCTTTTCCTCTTGGGAGGCCTCTCTGACTCCTGCTCTGGCTGGGGCTGGGTTGCTGGCGCCGGGTTATGCAATAATAGGTCCAGAGGCAAGTGATCAACCTTCAACCTGTCTACCTCTACCCTTAGCTCCTTCACCGACTCCTTTGAAGCCCGAGTCTTTCTCATTTTCTTTGCCTGCCTACCAAGCTCTTTTAGTGCCTGTCCATGTGAATCAACAGCTTCCAAAATCAATTTCTGGTTCTCTAGGAACTTCTTCTAGTTGTCCAGAAGCTCCTTGAGAGTGTCCTCAATGGACTGTGGGACTTGTGGAGGAGGAGGTGCTGACTGGGCTGCCATCGTAGTAGATAGTACAGACAGCTTAGAAGTAGTTGTCTGTATCCAGTTGTTGATGCTGGCGAGGGCCTGGCTCAGGCGGTGGGCAGTCAAGGGGTATGCAGTGGATGAGGGCACCTCTGGAGCTGCAAAAGTAGAGGGTCGGCCATGTCTGTTGTGGTGGGAGAAGGCTGAGTAGGAGCCACTACTACTACTGGCTCTTCAGACTGGCTAGTTGAAGTAGTGGCTTTGCCCTTGTAGTGCTGTTGTCATCACCCTGCAGGATGTACCAGGAGAACAGTGCCTTTGCTTTTACTTTCATATCAAATTTCCGCTTCTTTACCTCTAAGTGCTCAAGGTACATGGTCAGGAAGTTGGGGAAGGGATAAGATCTGTCACCTTCGTTCACCACCCGTGTAATTACCCGGGACATCACATTCCCGACGTCAATCGGGTACCCTGCCATGATCGATGCCAACAATATAGCTCGGTGAATAGGGAGTGAGTTGTCGTGAGTGGTGGGGTCTAGCCTGCTACACACAAATGTTTCCCACCCTTTAGCTTCAAAGTTTAATGTTCGCCTCAAAATCTCCACTCCCACGGTCAACCAATCTGGGGTGGTACCTGGGATTGCCAAGTACTCTGCCAACCAAGGACGAGCAGCCTCACCCAATGCCATCTTCTCCAAATACAATGACTCGTCCTCCTCCATGAAGCCCAGGTAGTCATTTATTGCTTTTCCATCAAATCTTACTTTCAAATTCCGCACCTTGGTCACTGTGGTGCCCTTTTTGATGTGGGCAACATTGGTGTCGAACTCCTTGACCAGGTGCTCATTTGTATCCTCACAGTTGCTTATGAAGTAGTCCCAGCCCACTCTCTCTCTGAACTGTCTTCTCACATTGGGGTTGTGAGGCAAGAGGTCTCTATCGATGAAACTTCGTTCAAGAATCAATTTCCTCTCAGGCCACCATCCTCTGAACTTGTGGTAGGCCACCTCACTCACGAATCGGTCTTGCCATGCTTCTGGGTTCCTTGTTCTCTCTACTCCTCCCACTTGGGGCTCACCCCCTCCTTCTTCTCCTTTTTCTTGTACTGGACCCTCACCGGAGAGTGAAGCTGTAGGAGAGGTGGAATATTCTTTGCCACTGCATGCGGCTGAGCCCTCAGACGACTTAGAAGATACACGCACTGATGCTTGGGAAATGGGAGGGACTGGAGGTGTAGGGTCATCTGTCAGTCTAAACCTCTTCGGGAAGTCATCTATATACTCCGGGACGGAGTCAGAATCAGACGCCTCCCGGGAAGGCTCATACTCACTTCCCGATGAATGGGAAACAACTCTATCAGCAGCCCGGATTGCCTTTCTTGTTGCCTTTATTGCTTCCCGAACTTGGGGGATCAACATTATCTTTCCACGTCCCCTCCCCCGGGAGGACTCTCCTCGTCCTGATTATTTATCACCTTTGCCTCGTGATTTCACCATTGTCTGCAAGCAACATTCAGTTGAGCCTTGTTAGTATTATTAGAATCAATTAAATTCAGAATAGCAGAAGACTTGTTGCAGACGGTCAAAAGTTGCAGAGTGCGGACCGCACAAAATGAAGTACGGCCGCAAAGAGGCTATCGCGGACCGCACAAAATCCATTGTGGTCCGCACAGAGGTGGGGTTCAGACTACCCACTCTCTGAATCTATGCACTGCGGACCGCACAAAATGCATTGCGGTCCGCATTGAGGCATCGTGGACCGCACAAAATCCATTGCGGCCGCGGTCCTCAAATGTCAGCTTTCAGAACTTAATCCACCGCGGTCCGCACAAAATAGTATTGCGGACCGCAAAGAGGCACCGCGGACCGCACAAAATCCACCGCGATCCACGGTGAGTTCCCAGCAGCAACACCAACCTAGGGTTCAAGTTTTGTCCATTTTTAGTCCAAATTTTTACCTAATAATGATTCCCTAGGTGTTGCCTCAGTGTTGTAACTAATTATGCCTAATTAAAATAGGATTAACTAACCTATGCTACTAAATTAAAAGAAAAACGGGAAGACAAGAAGAAAAACTAAGAGAAAATGAAACTCAAAAGAAAATAGCAAAATTAAACAACTAAAAAGGAATTAAGGTTACTAGAAATGAGATGCACTGATGATTAATCAAGACTAAGCAGTTGAATTCGTGCAATTTTAGAGAGTGAACAGTACTTTTAGGCCTCTGAGAGTAAAAAGATCGAAAAGTTCAAATGGAGGGCCTCAGGTCCTATTTATAGAAAAAGGTCCTGGGCCCCAGCTCACCTACCCACCGCGGACCGCACAAAATGGCACCGCGGTCCGCGGTGCTCAGAAACATGAAGCACTGGGAGATTGGCCACTG